GTGAAACGGGAGTTCAGCACCCCGAGGGCCCTCGGGAGTAGGGCGGTCCAGCGCAGCGGCGCCGGGGGCTGGTCTTCGAAGTGCGCAAGGAGTTGCTGACGCTCCTCTTTTGCACCACCCAGCCTTGACTGCACGATTTTCATTTTGTGTTAAGCAATTACGTAAAGAGCGAGGGTCTGTTTTGGAACCAGCGCGGTTTTCACGCGTGGGCTGGTGGTAGTGGATTTCTTTGACGCTCACTTTAAAAGTTTACTTTGTCCGATAGTGTTGTGCAAGCAAAGTCAAGATATCGAGGCTACCGCACAGATCCAGCCACTGCCACAGCCGTCTCTCCCACCGGCTGCACCTATCCCAGCTCCCCAGGGCACTCCTTCTGTGGAGGAACTTATCCAGCAGAGTCAGTGGAACCTGCAGCAGCAGGAGCAGCATCTCCTCGCCATGAGACAGGTTGGTTTAAGATAAGCACTTGAGCGGTTTGTCCTAGACTACCCGTGGCTGTAAAAATTAGGAGTGAAGGGGGAGAGGAAGGTTTCCTTCTGACTAGCGGTGGCGGCATCGCGTGTTGGTGAGGAGAGGGAGTATTACTTTGCTTATTTTTGTTCTGTGGCAGCTGCTGCCACCTTAGAACAGATGTATCCGATGTGCTAGCAAGACTGATCTTTGATTAAAACGGTTCATTTACTTTATGAATAACCTCGTTGGTTTGCAGAGTGGAATAAATTGTGCCTGCTTTAATCTTTGTTTAACATACAGGTTGCCAGGAACTGCAAGACATTCCAGCTTGTAGTATTCTGAGGTGGATTCTGATTAGGGGTGGAAGGGAACTGCGTACTTCGAACTAGTTGGTTTTTGCAGGTGATGTTTTGCTGTTAAAGCTACTGGGAACCAAACTGAAGAGTTCCTGGAGGAAAGCAGTATGCCTAGATTGTGTTCTACACATTTAGGAGCTTCCTGCAATTATTTTTTTCATGATGGAGAGATTTTAGAGGTGGAAATGAACTGGACTTCTCCTGAAGAACGAGAAGAGTCTTTTCTTCTCAAAAACAAATAACTGAAACATTTGTATGTGGTCACGTTGCTTGTAAAATCGAGATAGCTGCTTATGGTTAAGAGGATGGGGATACAGCGGCTTAGTTCTTCAGAAGAACGTTGGATGTAATATAATTCTTTTTTTATTATTGTTTTTTTCTTCTTTTTTCCAGGAACAAGTCACATCAGCAGTAGCCCTTGCAATTGAGCAACAAATGCAGAAAGTTTTGGAGGAAACCCAGTTAGATATGAACGAATTTGACAACTTGTTGCAGCCAATAATTGACACTTGTACAAAAGATGCAATCTCAGTAAGTGATGAAAATCTGAACAGTTCTTTGGTGGAGTCGTGGATTAAGTATAACTTGCATTTGGAGGCTGGCTGTGTAGTAAACAGCAGCTTTATTGTTTTGTTGTATGGTAAGTGAGATGATAGCTGTTACTTGAAAGCTTCCCGTCTTGCAGTTATTTCCGAGTTCTAGGAAGTCCATACGACGTGAACACATTAGACTAACTTAAAATATTTTCAATTTGCTTTTCTAAGGCTGGCAAGAACTGGATGTTTAGTAATGCAAAATCTCCTGCACACTGTGAGCTGATGGCTGGGCACCTGCGAAATCGTATAACGGCCGAAGGAGCTCACTTTGAGCTTCGGTTACATCTAATCTACTTAATCAATGATGTATTGCATCACTGGTAAGAGTTAAACTATGGTTTTCAGTTTGATGTTTTGATTCATTCGGTGAAGTCTCTCTCCGCTAGGTACATTGTTAGTTTGACTAGTCACTTTTTATTTTTAATGTGTTCATTGTTTTTAGCAGCTGTCTTAAGATGTCCATAGCTGGCACAAAGATCTAGGGCTTTAATAATCAAATGCAGCTTTTACCGTTTTTGTATTTTTTCTCCAGACAAGACTTTACAGTAAAAATGTAAAAGAGGGAACTCTCTATTTTATGAATCCACTACTTTTAGTATAGCAGAAATT